TTTCAATGATACTGACTAGTAGTGGAAGAATGAGAATTAGGAGAAATTATAAAATAGATGCTAATTGTGCAGTGATGACAAATGAATACTCAATGGTCCTCCAATTCTTGCTAGTGTTTGTAGGTCAGCTGCTAGTACACAGAATAGGCACTGACTAAGGGATTTAAGTGTTATGCTTTGTTATTTTGATGTATGAAGTATTGGGGCTTCCCAGGTGGGCACTAGTGGTAAAGAACCTACCTGCCAATCCAGGAGACACGTAAGAGACAAGAATTACATCCCTGGGTTGGGATTGAACCTGAGTTGGGACGATCCCCTGGAGGAGGGCATGGCAACCCACTCCAGTATTCTTGCCTGGAGAATCCCATGGATGGAGGAGCCTGGGTGCTATTGTCCACAGGGTCACAAAGAGACAAACATGACTGAAGCAACTTAGCACACACGCATAAAGTATTGAGATAATTGCTAAAATTAGAACTGGGAAGTCTAAGGGCTGTACATCCACTGAATTATTAGGAATGGACTGTAAGATTGCATAGGTGAATAAGAAGTATTATGTGGTTTGATGTGAAGGGGAGTTTTGATGAAGTTATTTGAAGTATACTTTAAATTTCCTAAAAGATGAACTGAGAATAGTATTAACATTTATAATGATAGAATTAGGAATAAGACACCCAAAATGCCTTTGATTGTGTAGTATGGATGAGGTGGAATTTTGTCTATATCAGGTGAGATTCCTCCTGGGACATTAAAGCATAAAGGGAAAGGTAAACAATTAAGACAGAGCGGTTTTGTCAACTGAGAATCATCCCCAGACTCATTCAACTAGACTAGTATCCATGAAGAGAATTGCTGGAAAGAGATTTGTAAAGACTGCCATACATCAAGAGGATATTTGACCTCAAGATATGACATAATCTTGGAATGCTGCGGCTATTACTGTGAAAAGTAGATTAATTCTGACATATCAATGTTTCCAGGAAGATGACTGCGAGAATTTCTCAGGAAGTCCTGGCTAGAAGTAGGAGTACTCCTAGAGGTAAGAACTCAGTCAGTGTACCCGAGTTAGAAAGTTAAAATACATGTGTGTGTTGTCGCTTCAGTCAAGTCCAACTCTTTGCAACCCTACGGATTGTAGCCTGCCAGGCTCCTCTGTCCATGGGGATTCTCCAGGCAAGAATAATGGAGTGCATTGCCATGCCCTCCTCCAGGGGATCTTCCTGACCCAGGGGTCAAATCCCCATCTCTTATGCTCCTGCATTAGCAGAAGGGTTCTTTACCACTGGCACCTCCTGGTGGAGGCTAATGAAGTGAAGCACAGTGGGGAGCCTAGTGCTCTTTACCAACACTGTCATTAGTCATCTCCAACACAGCCCCACACTGCACCCCCAACTGTAAGTTTCCTGAAGTCAGATAAGGACTTTATTTTACTGATTAATGCCTAAGGTATGTTAAAGAGTGAAAAACACAGTTCTACAGATGTAAATGTGACTACAATTTAACTGAATTAAACATCTTGATAATGCATCTATCTACTCTTCTTGATGTAAACACAATTGCTGTATCACATAATGAAATTCAGCAATTTTTATGGTATTATGAACAAAATGTGGCTCCTTTTAGAAGGATTGGCCAATAATTTTTACTATCTCCTCTGTTCTTTCTAAAATTTACAAGATTGGTGTTTAACCTGTCTCCACTACCACATTTTAACCACATTAACTCTTACTTTGGCCTAAGATTTTCTCAGAGGAGAAAATATCCACGGGCCAAAGGGAGAAATAGTTCACTTGATTCCTCTCTAGGCATGACATTTAATGACTGGAGGTTAAATACAGAGCCTTAGTTCAGTTCAGTCGCTCAGTCGTGTCTGACTCTTTGCAACCCCATGGACTGCAGCATGTCAGGCTTCCCTGTCCATCACCAACTCCCAAAGCTTGCTCAAACTCATGTCCATCATGTTGGTGATGCCATTCAACCATCTCATCCTCTGTCACCCCCTTCTCCTCCCGCCTTCAATCTTTCCTGGAACTAGGGTCTTTTCCAATGAGTTGGTTCTTTGCATCAGGTGGCCAAAGTATCAGTTTCAGCTTCAGCATCAGTCCTTCCAATGAATATTCAAAACTGATTTCCTTTAGGATAGACTGGTTGGATCTCCTTGCTGTCCAAGGAACTTTCAACAGTCTTCTCCAACACCAGAGTTTAAAAGCATCAATTCTTCAGCTCTCAGCTTTCTTTATAGTCCAATTCTCACATCCATACATGACTACTGGAAAAACCATAGCTTTGACTAGACAGGTCTTTGTTGGTAAAGTAATGTCTCTGCTTCTTAATAAGCTGTCTAGGTTGGTCATAGCTTTTCTTCCAAGGAGTAAGCATCTTAATTTCATGGCTGCAGTCACCATCTGCAGTGATTTTGGAGCACCCCCCCACCAAAAAAAATAAAGTCTGTCACTGTTTCCATCATTTTCCCATGTATTTGCCATGAAGTGATGGGACTGGATGCCATGATCTTAGTTTTCTGAATGTTGAGTTTTAAGCCAACTTTTTCACTCTCTTGTTTTCCTTTCCTCAAGAGGCTCTCAAGTTCTTTTTCTCTTTCTGCCATAAGGGTGGAGTCATTGCATATCTGAGGTTGTTGATATTTCTCCCAGCAATCTTGATTCCAGCTTGTGCAGAGCCTTATGGAGGCTTATAAATCTAATGATTTATAAAACAAACAAGCAAACAAATTATCAACCAAGGATATTGAGTCAGTTCAGAGAGTCAAAGAAGAGTAAAAGGATGGATATTGAATCTATAGAAGAATTGGGAAGAGAATTGGACAGAGAAGATACATTTGGATAAGAGAGGTCATTTCTTTTCAACATTGAAAACAGTACCCCTATGCTGTGCCTGTCATATAAGCACTGTGACTTCACTCTCTCAAATCCCCTCCAACTTTGATTGTATAATATATCTAAAAATATATCTAAATATCTCTGCATTAACCACCATACTCCATATCATCATTGTCCTATTCCTTAAGTATTAGGGGATGCAGTGTTACAACCACTTTGAACACAATGTGACAGTTTGTATTATAATATACCCTACAGTCCAGCAATTCAACTATAGATAAGACTATGTATTTCAATGACTAAAGGTATTTATTCTAACAAAATGACAACTTTAACCCATAGATCAACATTATAAACCTTGAACAAATTTTTTTTTTTAAACTAATGAAAGCACTAGAGGGTGATAAAAGAGAATCTATAGTGTACTTAGAGAAAAGTTACACTTACTTAGAAAAAGAGAACATTATTGAGGGAGTTTCCTTGTTTTATGACTTTTAATTTGACAGAGATCTCTATTGATAGGAGGTGGGTCAGTTAAAGCTCAGTAAACAACATACAGACTTGCTGGTTTGAAAAACAAATGGAATGTTTGGGGGCTGCCAGATTATCTAGAAAGTGGTAGGAAAATATATGTAAAACAGAGACCAAGCAGAACACAAATTTGTGCATATAAACTCAGTGAATATCTGAACTGTACGTGTTTGAGACAGGTATCAAGCAGACTATGTAAAGCTAACAAAACTGAAGAAAGATTTCAGGTGCTTCAAAATGCAGGGGTGAATTGAGAATTCGAGTTCCATGAGTTAACTATCTGAATAAAAACCAATCAAATTCTTCAGAGATATAAACAGAATCCAGGATCTCAACATCTTATTCAAAACATGGTTGAGGGAACTTTAGAAACAATTTAAGATTATTCAACATAAAATGAAACTAGAAACATGGTGCATATTCGATAGAAAAATAATCTGTGGCGATCAGCTAAAAAATAATCCAGATATTGAATGTAATAGACAAGAAATTCACAGCAGCCATTATATCAAGTATGGAATATATAAAAGAAAATAACTTTATATTTAACATGCATTATATGAAGACAAATAGAAATAGATTTTTATTGACAAACTAAAACTAAAAATGATAATCAATCAAAAAACAGATGAAGTTTTGGCTTAAGAGAATCACAAAAGAAAGACTAGTTGTATTTTAATGTATGAATATATACTAAATACCATGTTAAAAAATTCAAGGTAACAACATAAGCTTTAAGTACAGAACAAATACTAGGATATTGCAATTGTAAAACTGCAAGTGTAGTTGAGTTAAATAAGAAACAAGAGGGTAAAAATCACATGCTCATTTCAATGCAGGCAGAAATGCATTACACAAAATCTACTATCCAATCATGGCAGTAATAAATTATAAATACCAGTTTGCTCAAGCTAAATAAGAAAAAGCACACAGTTAACATCATATTTAATGGTTAAATATTGAATACATTCTCTCTTTGACTGGGAACATATCAAGGAACATGTCAACATCCATTCATCATTGAACTGTAGGTCCTAGTCCAAAAAATAAGAAAAACAAGTAAAAGTATATGAATGAATGAATGAATGAACCCGCAAGAGGAAGCCAGTTTATTTCCAAGATTCTTCTGATCTCCTTCTCAACAAATTTTCACTGTGAATACCCATCTCACAATACACATCTGAAGTCTAAGAAATACAAGATGAAATAATTGCCACTCAGAAGCTGTGAGGTGAGAGGGAGAAGCCCTAGAACTTATTTTGGATCATAAGAGATTCCACATTTGATGCCTTGTTTGTTTTCTTTTGAATCCAGAATTACTTCTCAGGTCATTTTCTGAGAAGAAACAGTGTAAATGGAAGCAACTTAGAGGCTTCGTGTGCATGTTAGGGGAGGGTTTCACAAACGTTGAGGAACTTAGAATGCAAAAACCGCATGTAAATGAAGCAGCTCCACCACATGCAGATGGTTCAACTTAGCTTAAATTACAAATCCAGTGAACACAATATTGTATTTAACTCCCAGCCCTGTTTCCTGATTCATATATGACTAGACATCCAAACCATAATTTTTCAAGTTTCTTAAACTATTATTTTAAGGAGTAGTACCAAAAGCCCACTTCTCAACACTCTACTCCAACTGTCTATGAGCAAAGAAATCAAAGATCCTTCGACACATCTGTTTGGTTTTAACACTGTAGATAATGGGGTTCATTACAGGAGGTGCTAGTACATAGACATTGGCCATACTGACATGTACAATTGGAAGGGCAGGCTTGGCAAAGTGGTGAGTCATGGACACACCCACCATGGGCACATAAAGGACCAAAACAGCCAAAATGTGGGACAGACAATTATTGAGGGCCTGGAGCCTTTCAACCTGGGAGGCAATTCTGAGGACGCTTCTCAGGATGAGTGCATAGGACAGCACAATGAGCAAGGGGTCCAGTATGATAATGAGCAGAGCTAGAACAAATCCATACCTATTATTTGTGGTGGTGTCAGCACACACCAGGTGAATCATGTCTTGATGGAGGTAGTAGGACTGGGAGAGATGAGGGGAGCCACAAAAGGGAAGCCTTTTCAAGAGGAAAAATTTGGGAAGAACAGCCAGAAGACAGTGACAAATGATGGCCAGATGTATTCTGCAGATTGCTTTCCTAGTAAGGATGGAAAAATAAGGGAGAGGGTGGCAAATGGCCATGTAGTGGTCAAAAGACCTGGCCAACAGCACAAAAGATTCCATGAAGGAGAATCCATGGAGGAAGAAGAACTGAATAAAGCAAGCCTCAAAGCTGATCTCTGAGGCGTTGAACCAGAGGATCCCCATGACTGCAGGCCAAGTGGTGAGGGTGAGTCCCAGGTCTGTTAGGGCCAACATGGAGAGAAACAAGTACATGGGCTCATGCAGAGAGGGCTCTGCCCTGAAGACAGCCAGTATGATGCTGTTGCCTACGATAGAGATAGTGTAGAGACAACAGAATAGAATGGAAATCCAGGTATGAAAGACCTCAAAGCCAGGGATGCCCATGAGGATGAAGTAGAAGGGGACTTGAGTGGAGTTAGTAACCAGAAACATGACTGGAGGAGGCAGCCACAAGACCAGTTTGTTGCAAAACCTGTGAAAAGTGGAAAACATGAGATTAAAGTTCTACAACCAGGTTAAATCATCATGTGATATATTGGCAAGGGAGATTTGGTTAAATAGAGATAAACAGGAAATGAGCTCACAAATGCTTTATTATTTTTGCTTTTTTTAGGTCAAAGCTTGTCATTCCCTAGTTGAGAGCATAAATCAGTCATTTTTTTAACCCAAGGAATTTTTCATCTGTCCAGAAAGTGGTTATGCCCTGTAGCAGGAAAGTGTAGGAGTGTTTTATCACTGTTGGAGAGAACAGCTGTAGAGAAAAGATTACTATAGGGCATTCTTTGATGCAATAAAGTTTGGAGAAGAGAAAGAATAGACTGATAAAGTTAAAAAGCAATACAATATACTGTCACCTATAAATTGGCACTTGTGTTCTACCTCCACAAAGGTCAAATTATGAGCCACTGCAACTGCTGAACTTTAACTCCCCTGAAAGGAGTTCAGGGTGGAGATCAAGAATGAGACACTGTGCTCTGGGAAAAACTGGCAGAACATGTCTTCAGATAGTTAGATTTTTTTCAGGAGATTTCATGAGCCCAATTCTTGCATCTTCTTGTATCTAGAAAAGCACTAAAATTCTTCATGGTGACCTCTGCCCCTGGTGACTAGCAGTAATCTTCTACAAAGAAGTATGTGTTGATTGCATGTATTCTCCCTTCACCAAAATCATATGTATACTGATCATATGTATACCAACATCTTTGGAACAGTTTTGTTAGAGCAAGTTTGTGTGCCTGATGCAGTGAGGCCAAGCACACGGAAACACTGAAGTTTGGAGCAGAGAAGTATTTATTGCAGGGCCATGCAAGGAAACGAGAAGTTTATGTGCTACACTCACTCCTCCTCCCCCCACCCACCACCCCTGAGCTCCCTGCACAGGGGGAAATTCAGCAAAGAATTTTTAAAAACCAGGTAAGGGAAGGGGGTTTCAGGGTATGTGATCAGTGAGTATACAATTCTGAGTGGTTGAGGGTGAGGGGACAGGGTGATATTACAGGGTTAACATTATCAGTCAAATCATTGCATCAAATACTGCTATCTGGGTATATCTAAAATAGAAGATATGAGGAAAGCCTCTCTGGGAAGGTCCCTTAGGGTCCTGCTGAGTTACAATCCCCCCTTTTTCGTTGATAATTCTCAATCTTGAGGAGAACAAGTTTTGAACAAGAAAAGGAATAAAGGTTCAGGTAAGGAGGTTAATCATAAACTTGATAGAGGTATCTACAGGGTTCTGCTGGGTTACAATTTGAGCAGACACTGCTGTGAGAATGACTAGGTGTGTCTGAGTCTGACAGCTACTCTATTTTTATGTCCAAATGCATTTCTCTCCTAAATGGCCAAAAAAGGCATCACCATTAGTGATTTTAATGCTTTTTTAGATATGAGAAGATGCAACGATTTAGGCTCATAAAAATCTTAAAATTTCAATTTGAGAGCCTGTTTTGCCAGTTTTACCCCTGAGCACAGAGTGCCTCACTCCTAATCTCCACCCTAAAACTCCTTTCAGGGGGTGTTCAAGGTCAGCAACTGCAGTGGCCCATGATTTAATCCTTGTAGAGGTAGAGAGCAAGTGGCAGTTTTCAGCTGGCAAGGCCCTTTCATATTTATAAATTTGATCTTGGCTTTGGGGGTATTTCATGACCATTTCATCCCGTGGTGCTAGGAATGTTCATTCCCAAATCTGATGAAGATTTCACTGGTAGGCCACTCAATGTGCTGAGCTTCCCTGGTGGATCAGATGGAAAAGACTCTTCCTGAAATGTGGGAGACCTGGGTTTGATCCCTGGGTCCGGAAGATCCCCTGGAGAAGGGAATGGCAACCCACTCCAGTATTTGCCTGGGAAGGAATATCTCATGACTTAGGGGCCCTCTGAAGTATCCCAGAGCAAGCTGAAGTCAAAAGAAACTTAATTAGAATTTGATTGTGTGTGTGTGTGTGTGTGTGTGTGTGTGTGTTAGTTGCTCAGTCTGTCTGACTCTTTGCGACCCCATAGACTATAGCCTGCCAGGCCCCTCTGTCCATGGGATTCTCCAGGCAAGAATACTGGAGTGGGTTGCCATGCCCTCCTCCAGGGGATCTTCCCGACCCAATGACCCCAAGTCTCTTACTTCTCCTGCATTGGCAAACAGATTCTTTACCACTAGTGCCACCTGGGGAGCCCAGAATTTGATAGGAAGTTCATCAAAAATGTTGAAAAGTTGTAAGAACATTTGGTCTGGTAGAACCATGGGTCACTTTGAATATTTCAAAACAAAATCAGATCATTGAAAGGCAAGGAAGTTCACACAATATATTATCAAAGGCAGCATTTGAAGTAAACTTGCTCTTTTAGCAGAAAGGAACAAAATCTAGTCCTGTACTAGTCTACTTTTAATAACAAAATCCATTTACCCAATTAAGTTTAATCTAAAATAAACCTGACTATGCATAAAACCTTTTTTTCTCAAAATATGTAACCCACTTTCCTACTATATAGTGAAATGTTTCATTATGTCTAGCAACTTTAATTGTATATTTAAATTAGAATCCCCAACTTTTAAACACCTTAATTTCTAATGAAAACCGAGAGGGCAAGTAATTTTTACTAAAATCTGGAGAGATTATTTTAGGTAATTTTCAGAACATAATTATTCCTATAGTTTAATTAACTCAAAAATTTTACCACACCAAGTTATTTTTCTCACTGACAGATTTGCAATAGATATCACAAGATTTCACTTAACTTCTACTAAATCTAGGCTCAGTGAAAATGTTACTTTGTGAAAGCATGAAAATTGATGATGCTAAAGACCTAATTAATTAATTAGGTCAAATTAATTAAATCAACAAACTAACCTTAATACCAAGTATCAACAATATAGTATTTCCCCTTCTTCCACGTGAACTTGAAACTCATTTTGTCTAACTTTTTAAATATTTGAATTGTAAGTGCTTAAAGTTCTAGATGTCCAATACTTCGGCTACCTGATGTGAAGAGACGACTAACTGGAAAAGACTCCTGATGCTGGGAAAGATTGAAGGCAGGAGGAGAAGGAACCGACAGAGGACGAGATGGTTGGATGGCATCACCGACTCAAGGGACCTGAGTTTGAGTAAACTCCAGGAGATGGTGAAGGACAAGGAAGCCTGGCATGCTGCAGTCCATGGGGTCGCAAAGAGTCAGACAGAACTGAGCGATTGAATAACAATAAAGTCCTATATGGCTCAGTGGTAAAGAATCTGCCTGCAACATAGGAGATGCAGGTTAGGAAATGGCAACCCATTCCAGTCTCCTTGCCTGGGAAATTCCAAGGACAGAGGAGCCTGGCAGGCTACAGTCCATGGAGTCACAAGGTCCGACACAACTTAGTGACTAACCAACAACAACAATATAAATTTACTAGCTTACGAAGAATAGTTGGAATACATTAAATTTGCTTGCTTAGATAATGATGGTTTTGCTGTTTTTTCTTGATGATCTCTTATGAAACTTATGTAAAGTTTGGTTGAGGAAGCATTCCCAGCAGTTTTGAGGGTTTTTTTTTTTTATGTTATTTCTGCATCCCTTTTTCTTCAGTTCCTAGGAACACAGATAAGCTCCAGAGGGCCTAGGTAAATCATTTACATCTCAAAGGCCCAGGAGGATAAAGTGCACATTTTTTTCTACTTATACAAAACCCAGCCATCTTGAGGGATATTCAGGGAACTCTTTTTTTCCAGTTTCCAAATATTCACCTTAGTTTAAAAAAAAGAAAAACAAGTAACAATAATAGACAATAATACATATCATCTGCTCACACTCTCAAGCCACTCTTAACAAAACCAGGAAGAGAGTAAGGGATTTGGACTCAGGTACTGAGACATCCATTCACACACAATACCACCCCCAACCTCCACCCTCCCCACCCCCTGCAAGATAAAAGCAATTGCAAAAGATCCATTCTGATACAATAGACAAGCCATTAGAGGCCTTTGCCCTGCAGATCTCAGGGAGCATTGAGGCATTTTTTTCATTTAGGGAGCATAGCTAAAGGATCTCTTAAATTTGCAAAAGTACCCCAAGGACTGTAAGATGACCAGAGCTCTGACCATCCACACTTAATTATTCATGGTCACCATTAGCAAATATCAAGCAATTCAGAATGATTGTTCAGGGTCAGAGTTGCTTAGCCTTAAAAAAGGAAAATTCCCAACAAACGCCCAGTCAGTCCAAAAAGGGACAAACCCAACCAATGCCCTATCAGAGATGAAGCTGCAGAATGACCAAGGCTAGTTCAAAAAGGGAACCAAAGTTCCATTGATGTAAGAAATAGATGGGCTCCAGGTTAGACATTTACAACTAGCCTCCTGTTGCATTTCCTTGGACAAGAGATAGATGGGCTCCAGTTAAGAAATTTATAATTAGCCTCCTGTTTGCTCTCCAACCTCACATATGCAGATGATACGACCCTTACGGCAGAAAGTGAAGAGGAACTAAAAAGCGTCTTGATGAAAGTGAAAGAGGAGAGTGAAAAAGTTGGCTTAAAGCTCAACATGCATGGCATCTGGTCCCATCACTTCATGGCAAATAGATGGGGAAACAGTGGAAACAGTGTCAGACTTTATTTTTCTGGGCTCCAAAATCACTGCAGATGGTGATTGCAGCCATGAAATTAAAAGACGCTTACTCCTTGGAAGGAAAGTTATGACCAACCTAGATAGCATATTAAAAAGCAGAGACATTACTTTGCCAACAAATGTCCGTCTAGTCAAGGCTATGGTTTTCCCAGTTGTTATGTATGGATGTGAGAGTTGGACTGTGAAGAAAGCTGAGCGCCGAAGAATTGATGCTTTTGAACTGTGATGTTGAGAGGACTCTTGAGAGTCCCTTGGACTGCAAGGAGATCCTACCAGTCCATACTGAAGGAGATCAGTCCTGGGTGTTCATTGGAAGGACTGATGCTGAAGCTAA